TCATTTTATTCCATTTCAGTGAAATTAAAATATCAAAATCTCACTGACTTTATCTTAAGAAAAAGACAGTTTTCAAGTTGGGCCGACTTGAAAAAGAAATTATTTTTCTCCTTTTGCTTCGCAACCCAATCAAATAGATACAGTGGATTTATCTTATTTTTAACATTTTAAAGTACAATATTTCTTAAAAAGACAGGCCTTGTAAACCATGCCAAGAATACCACTAACAATCAAATATTGTTATTACATACGTTAAATAAGATTTTTCTACTTAATATAAGTTATACAGCTTTACTTAAAACTTCCATCAGTTTTTCGGTTACAGAGAACAAAATTGTATCTTACAAAGTAAGGTATTGGAATAGGATGATGACAGGACTTGTACAGTAGCTTTCCAAGATTTTAAAACTGTATTGAAAGTGTTACAAGCCATGTCTTGGCATTGCAATCCCCTCCCCCAAAATTAGAGTGGTTAATCCCCCCCTTCCACAACGGAAAACCTATGCCTGCCCCTGTGTTTTGGAAGCTGTCTGAAAATGAAATAAAAATTGAATCCAATTCTAGGTATATTTACAGTGCGAATTGAAAAACCGTGGGAACTTAGGAATATGCCAGGAATTTTCTATTGTACTTTGGCCAATCAGAATTGACTTTCTAACCACAAGATAACGGAAAGATTGGTTAAGAAACATTCTTGAAATATTTCTAGGTGCCAACAGTTTTTCGATTTGCACAGTAAAGGTTGAAATAAGGAGTAGATATCCTATGAAGAATTCATACATAATTACAATGCATAATAATTATTTTCATATTCAGTTAGAAAATGACCACAGCAATTTGACACCCCTTCCCACAACTTAAAAGCTGCAACAACAAGACATGCCCTGACACTATAATAGAGTCCTCTCCAAAAATGTGAAGCATTGTCTTTGCCCTAGTTCTTTCTCTGGAGTCTGATTTCCTATAGGTACATGATCTGAACTTCTACAAACACAACTCTTAATGAATGAAAACACATGCGATATATGGTTGGCAATGAGATAAGTAACTGTTGTGAGATTCATTCAACTGATTGATACCAAGCAATAGAATACTCTCT